GAAGGCAGCTGTGCCTTGGTGACAAAAAGCTGCTCCTGCATGTGGGGGAGGTAGCTTTGGTCACAGCCCTGACTCCAGAGGCACTGCATGCCCCAGGGCCAGCTCCAGGAGCAGGGCTCATTGTGGCCATGCTGGAGGTGAGGACACCTTGGCCGTTGGGTACTAGCCAGCCCCATAACTGGGTGCCAGAGCCCGGTAGCTTCACCCTGAGGAATGAGATTTGCACAAAGCTGGGTGCCCAGAGCTGCCCTTGCTCCAGGGAACAGCAGGAGCAGGGGTCAGGACAGGGAGACCTGCAACAGGATCATCCCAAAATGGCTTGAGCCTCCACAGTCCCTCTTGGATACAAGCCCCACCTGTCCCTGTGGCACTGGGAGCAGTCCCGCAGCCTTGGGGTTTCTTGCCAAAGGACACACAGTGCAGTATCATCTGAGGAGCACCATCCAGCCCGTGAACTGTTTGAGCCTGTTGTAAACAACCCCAAGTGCCAACATCCTTAACAAGCCGGGTCACATTCAAGCCACCCACAGCAGACACCTACGCTGGGTACCTCAGCTAACTCCTCACCGCTATTCTGAGAGCCTGCAGGGAGTCCTGAATTGCTCGTGTTTTTCTTGATCTTACACCCACCTACGTGTGACAGCTCAGAGGAGCCCTCCAAGTGCATGCGAGGAATACAGCATCCTTATTAATCCACACCCCCAGGCACAGAGGTGTGAACGAAGCCTGCACGAGCAAGGCAAAGGCAGCCAGCAGCTTTCAGCAAGCCAGCAGCTGCCTCCAAGGCCCGCAAGCAGCGTTGTGCACATGGAGCAAGCATCTCTGGTGATCTTCAGAGCCGCCACATTTTGCAAAGGAGGAGGAGCAGGAGGAGTGCAGAAAGGTGGCCTGGAGCAGGGACAGGCAGGGGCTACAGTACCCATGTTGCCATTAGCTCAAATCTGCACCCAGGGATTACAGTGCCCACAGCAGGGGATATACTTTCCATATACATTGATGCAGCTATTTGAGGCTGACCTCACTGCTAGAGCTGAGTGGTACAAGAAAACCCTCACACCATGCAGCCCTTGGAGGAGCCCCAGGATGCCCCGGTGCTCATGCATGGGACTGAGGTGCTAATCGTGATGGTCATCCCTCCTAGAAACAGCCTCGCAGGGTGCTCAGGGAGCACCCACTGGAGACAGGGCAGGTGAACCCAAGAAGCAGAGGGCACTAAGCCCAAGGCAGCAGATGAAGAGAAAGGAGAGGCTGGGACCCAAGAAGAGGGTGGCTTGCAGGGGGTTTCCTCTGGATTCAGACCAAGACAAGAGCAATGGTGTCAAGGGCTTCAGAATTTGTAAACTACTATAAGAGAGACTCATCCTGAAACCAGAGCATGGTGTTTACTGAATATTTTGTGCAATGTATATAAAAGTAAATATTTTTAACAAAAACCCCGGGAAAGCCTAGCTGTGAACAGAACTAAAATCATTACTATGATAACATCATTATTATAACATACATGCACATTATGTATTTGTTGTTTATATCACCCTGGTGTGTCTGTAGGCTTTTTGAGGTATAACAACAGCCAGGGGAGTTGGAGGTCAGAGTCTGGCATTGCACAGAAGAGGGAGCTGGGCTGTGCTGATGGAGATACATTTTGATGGTAATCAAGGTTCATGGTCTGATGGCTTTTACATCTCCAATTTTCAGAGGAATTAGACACCCTGAAGGCAAAACACCTGTACACTCAGAAGCGCCAGCTCTGTGCGTTCCTCACCATCCCAGGGACCTGTGCCCTGGCTTGCTGCAGCGAGGAGACGCTCAGCCCTCCACCCGAAACAGCTCTTCCCAGAGACACCAAGATGGGGGACCATGTCTCTTCTGGGGGGCCAGCATCCAAAAAAGGCATGTAAAAGTGGATGGTTTTGCATGCTGCATACGAAAGCAATGTTTTCCTAAAGTAGCACTATATCCCATTCTTCCAGGGCTGAGGAAGACATAGAAGTATTATGCTAGAAATAGTGCCTGGTTATCACCTTTTCCGTAATGGCCAACATAAGGCAGATGTGGCAATGAAGACCAGGAAGAACATTTCTGCTTATTTCTTAGAAAGGCACAGACAACTACTCACATGCCCGTAAGATGACAACAAAGCATTTTCCGCTACACTAGAAGAGAAAGAACTGCAGGTCTGTAAATTTTGCTGGGGAGAATCTTAATAGGGGACACTGTCAATGCCTCTGGGTGACCAAACTGCCCCAGGAGCTAAAGCCTAAAAATATGACATTAATCTAGATTGCTCAGAAAAACAGCTCCCTGATCACCCAACCCCAAACCATGGCCATTCCGCCACACGTAGTATCCCAAGAGATTACTGCCCTCAGTAAAACCAGACACCTTGAGCAGATCAGTCCTGGGACCCTGGGACCACAGCAAGAGACTGTCTCAACCCAAAATGTCCCTGCAAAACACATATATGCCCATCTTCCTTCAGCATATGGAAATCAAATGGAACTGGTGTGACTGTGATTAGTCTGGCACATACTGGTCAGCCCCTTTGGTAATAAATAACCTTATGATGCCATGTGAGGGTCACCAGCTTGCTTGGAGCTGGGGAGCAGGAGCACTTGCGGGAAGACCCACATGCTCGGGTCAGACCATGCTGTGCCGCGCAGCCATCCCTCACGGCTGAGGCAGGTGGTCCAAGCAGGACCTGGTCCTTGCTGGGTAGGATCGGTGTGAAGGCCAGAGCCAGGCAATAAATGTGTTTCCACTGAGAACAGGGGCAAGCTCAACTTGTCATGACTTAAACAGAAAACCTGCTTGCAAATAGCTTTAGGAACAGCTTTAGCTTTAAGTTAGCAGGGAGCTCTAAAAGCCAGGTCCCAGTGCTCCTGGCTTTTCTCTAGCTGCCCATTGCCAACCAGTCTGGGCATCTCAGGGCAGACTGGTATCTGCCCCAAGCAGTTTCTTAGTTGCAAGTGATGTGGAGAGTCCACCAGATGGAAAATTTTATAGCATATTCAGAGCTATCTCATGCCTTCAACCTTTCCTCTCCTTTCTGGGAGAGACAAATTCACAATTTCTAGTTGGGTGCTGCGTCGGGATGAGTTCACATCCTTTCTGCTCATTCATTTCTTCACCCTATTTGCAAGATCTCTGAACTGTTGCACTTCCTCCCGCCTATTCTAGAAATGCTCTTCGTGCTTCCAACACCACAGCGAGTGCCACTCATCTGTCAACTTGCCATGGTCAGATTACTTTTGCTTTCTGGACAGTTTCCATCCCACCACCTTGTCCTGCCCCTGGTTCAGTGACATTTAGCCTGATCCCTTCCCAACTGTCACCCTGCACAACAGGTTTCCCTGGCTGTCCTCACCACTCCCCCCCCCGCCGAATTGCCTCTTCTTCCAGTCCTCTGTCAAGACCTCAAAGTTCCTGTCCTTTCCTAACTTCTCAGGCTCCATAAACACCCTCTGTAAGATCTCCATGGAGGTCAATGAGCTGCAGAGCCCACCAAGACCCATTGCCCTTCTTCTTCCTGGGATATGACAAAGCTGGGACTGGGCTCTTCTAGCTCATCTCTTCTCTCTGCCATGCAGCTTCGAAAAGAAAGAGCCTGAAGCTGAAGGGAGGAGGGTGGGACTCCCCAAAATGCAACAAAACTCAGCTGAGAGGAACTACCTCAGGTCCAGCATCATTTTTCACTAGGAGACCCCTAAAGCACCATCCAGGACACACCGAGAGAAAGGGTGCTGAGCATTTCAGACCATGCTTTATCAAATCTCATTTTATTTTAATTGAATTGGTTTTTAAATTGAGCAGCTTCATTATTTTTGTCTAAAGAGCATGCTCTGCAGCTGCTCCAGCTGGCAGTCCACAGCTGCTGGCATTGCCTCCACCCTGCCTGCCCCCAGGGCAGCATCTCCTGTCTCCTGGCCCTGGTCCACAGGCACTTTGGTTTAAATGAGTAGGACTAGATGATGCCACACTTGAACTTAAGGACCTGAGAGCTTTTCCTCCAGAGACAGGTTGGCAGACTGCTTGAGGCAAGAACCTCGGGCAGCAATAGAGCCTGGAGGAAAAGGGATGTCCCAGGGGATGGAGAGACCAAAGGTGACCTTTGGAGACATCAGCAGAGGCTGGGTTATTTTTCTTTCCCTGGGTTTTGCAGCCCTTGAAGTGCCCCCACCTGTGGTGGGCAACTCACTTCTTCCCATGCTTGGAGATTTCCCACCCATGGGGCTTGTGAGGGGAGGTGGAAGGGCTGGAGCTACCAGACCTAGAGGTCATCTCCCTGCCAGCGGATGAGAGAGCAGCCCAGGACCACCCACACCCATACAGAAGTCCCCTCGCTTTCACCGCAGGTCCCAGCACCACGAGGCTGAAGTGTGGCCAACTACACAGGCAGCTGCCACTACCGAATCCCTGCCTGACAGGTGCCCAGCTTGCTGTGGTGTCCCACTGATGCCACAGCAGGATCTCTCGAGGACCCTCTCTGGGCTGCAGATGACCAGGTCCAGCAGCACCCTTTGCCCTCTGAGATGTTGCAGATTAGCTGGGGCTAACGAGCAGGGATGGATGCACCATAAAACCACAGTGCTAACCACACAAGGCTCCCCAAATCAACCCTTTATTGCCTTGTTCCAGTACAATTCACACCAAAATCAGCACTATGCAGCAGGCTGGGCACGTATCCTTCTCCAGCAGCCTGTGAGATGAGCAGCAGGGCAGTGGTGGTCAGTGGGATCCCCTGTCCCCGTCAGCAGCACAGAGGGTTGTGGCACATCCCCACTGCAAAGTGCCCTTTCCAGCACAGGCATGGCACGGGGTGGGTGTCACACTTGGCAGGTGACCTCCAGCAGCCAGGAGCATGCGGGGACCCTTCCATGATGCTCACCAGGGCACACAGATATTTCCCTGGTGCTGCCCCACCATCACCCTCCTGCTCACAGGAGGAGCCAGTCGGGCTCCCAAGGTCTCTGCCCGCCAGTGGGAAGCCAGAGCAGCTGCTGTCACAGGATGATGCACCCGGTCCCCTGCGTGTCCCTGACCCAGGAGATCACCAAGGGCTCTGCATTTCTGCCCCCCAAAAAGGCACCCAGGAAAAAGAGAGGCCTGAGGTTCCCTGAAAACTTGTCAGTGAAGGTGTAAATGTGGGAGCGGTCGCTCACATTGTAAAAGGAGATTTCTCCTGCCTCGTAGTCCAGGAAGATCCCAATGCGCCGGGGTCTTACGGTCAGGGTCAGTGGGGAGACAGGCAAGGTGAGGGCCTCGTAGTTGCCCCCATTTTGCAGCCGCAGCAACCAGTAGCCATTGTCTGGGGAGAAGAGGACATTGCCTTTCCGGCTGGCAGACTCCTGGCACAGCCCCAGGCCCCACTCGGGCTTGTCTCCCACTTGCACCTCCCAGTAGCAGCGGCCTGAGAAGAAGACCTGACTCCCCAGCACTGCTGGAGTGGTGCTGAACCTCTTGGGGTTGTCAAAGAGGGACAGAAGCAGCTTCTTGCTCCCGCGCCGCACACTCTTGCGGTCCTCGGATAGGGTAAGGTCAGGGTGTGCTGTCTCAGGGTCCAGAGTCACATCCACTGGAGCGAGAGAAGGGTGGAAGGACAGATGGGGCTTCAGGGGTCTGCAGGTGCAGGCACGAGTGGGTGTCTGCAACCCAGATGCTGGGCTCTTCCAGCTCTTCCTACCTCTTACATTTATTTGCTTGTGCCTGTGGTTTTGCACAGCTCCCAGCACTGCCTGGCAGTGGGGAACTGCAATACATAAAATCATGCTAACTATAAACCATATCAAAATATTTGGCATCTGGCTGCAGAGCAGGAACAGAATAAGGGTGGCTCTGCAGCCCCCGGCACAGCTTCAGAAACAGCCAACACTGAAAACAAGAGTTTGTGGGCAACACAGAGCCTGAAACTCCAGAGCGACCTCCTAGCCTTCAGGGTCACCTCACAACCCATCCAGAATGAGGAAGGTGTCCCCACCATGGAACCAGCCTGAGCTCATCAGTATACAAACTGGGACCAGCTGGACAAAGCTTGTTGAAAAAACCTCCCCGTGTCCCAGGGTATGGGGGGTGGACTGCAGCCAGGAGCTGGCACAAAAGCAGCTCCCTTACCTTTGAACTTCTTCAGCATTTCCCTCATGCCCAGGCAGTGCTCGGGGATGCTGTAGTTTTCCTTCAGGGTCACAGACACAGCCTTGGGGGACTGGAACTTCATCCCCTCGCACCTGAAAGGAGAGTGATGCCCATGGGCTGTATCCAGAGCCCACAGCACAGCCAGTCTCCTGCTGGGGTCGGGTTTAATGCCTTTCTGTTGGCTGCATGGAGGCATCTCCTCCCTTGAGCTCTTTGGCTGTGAAGAGCACTAGGGATAACTGCTGGCTTATCAGCAAGCCTGATGGGACCAGAGCTAAAGGATGTGGGGACCAGCAGTACCAGTCCCTGGGAAAGAAGGAGCAAGGCCACCTGGGCAGCATGTCCCTTAGGAGAGGACACATCTCACACACCACAAGGCCAGGCAAGCCCTTGGCTCTGGGGCTCTGGAAGAAGAGGATGGAGTCTCTTCTCCCGCCCCTGCTGGTCTCAGTCCTTTCTTCATCAGCCCCAGGGAGGATCAAACCAGATGCTGGGCAGGGAGAACAGGGGGTGGCTGGCATGGAGCAGACATGAACATCTCAGAGCCTGGAGGCAGCCAGGATGGTAGAGGGAACGAGCACAGGTACCTACCTGCTCAGGATGCTTTTCATGTCCTAGAAGGAGAAGAGAAAAACCATTCTGGGTGTGAGGCTCCAGAGCCTCATGCCCACCAGCCAGCCTGGCCCTGGCCACCCACCCAGATGGCAAAGGCATCGAGGCTGAGTTAGTGGGGCTGGTGGCATAGCCTGACCTTGAGCAGCCTGTCAGCTGGCTGCTGGGTCTTCTCCTTTATCTCCAGGATCAGGTCCTCCAGCAAGGACTTCTGCTCCACCAGCCTGGCCAGGTTTTCATTGATCATCAGCAGAATCCGCTTCTCCTCTTCCTCCAGCTTCTGGAGTAGCAGCTTCTCCTCGTCAGCCAGCAGCCGATGCAGCTTCCCGAACTCGCTCACAATCCTCTCCCGCTTTTTCTTTACTGTCTCCTTGCAATAAGAAGATACACTGGGTGAAGCAAGGCGCTGTTAGCCAGGCAGCTGTGACAGAGACGGATTCTCTGGCACCCATGCCCAGCATCAGGCCCTGGGAAACCACCTCATTTTTTTGGTAAGTGCATGTATTTAAAAAAACAGCCAGAGGCTAACTGCTGTGCTTTCACCTCGCCTGAGTTCCTGTTGGACATCCTCAGTTTACCAGCAGTAGGACTTTGCCTGGGGCATTTCTGCTCAGCTGGACCTCAGATGTCTAACGAAGTCTCCGTGCAGCACAGGGGACTGGTGGGGCTGCTAGGCTGCAAGGACATGCCATCAAGTGTCGGGGCAGGTTTTTATTAGATATGATACAACTCATCCCTCCAGCTAGATTCAGGCTAACCCACTGCTCGGGCAGCCCAGAGGAAATGCTCTACGTCTGGAAAAACCCAGAGCAATGGGAAAGAGGTGGAAGAAGCCCCGGGGCTGGGGAGGATGGAAAGAGGGAGACAGGGAGGACTCCCCGATTGTCTGAGAGCTCTCACTACAGCCAGCAACTGGCAGGGTCTGCCAGTGCTTTAGGGGTTTTCGCCTGAGCCCTAAAAATTGGCATTTTGCTTGAAACCTGAAGCGCCAGGAAAACACACTGCAGTTAGCTAGGACCGTGAAACCTCAAAATGCAGAAGATAAATGAAAGGAAACTGAACTGCCTTTATTTTTATGTCCAAGCACATGATTTCTTGGATCTGAGTCACAAAGGCTTGATAGGCCAGGATGGTCACAGCCACCTCCCCCCTACCGCTCACAAGGGACATTTTTTTCTTTTTACTAAAAAAGGATGACAACGCTGGGCCGGGAGGAAGCCAGAGGCAGCTGAGCTGCGGCCCTGGAGCCCTGAGTCAGGTTGGTGGTGCAAGAGTGACATGGCTTTTTCACAGCCTCCATCCCCAGCCTTGAGGGGGGTGGTGGGCACACAGGGGCACCCCAAAAACCCACCACCCACTTGGCTGGGCTGTGGCAGGCAGGCAGAGGTGCTGTGCAAAAAACTAGAGGAGTCCAGAGAAACCTGTTTTCCCTGCTAAAGCTGATTAATCATCAACTCTAGCTCAGGGCTGGACAACTCCGTCCAGCAGTTTCGTTTCCTTTTCTGCAGTTACTTTTACTTTCCAGCTTCCACCCTGGAGGGACATGAAATGCAGCTGTTTTGCTGGTGTCATATCTCCCCAGGACTGCCTGGAGTCGGGCAGAGGTGCAGTAATTCAGCTTTTCCTTTTTTTAATGAAAACACTTCTAGTTCCTATTGTTGTGACGTAGAGCTCACCCTATGGCTCACGCCTGGCTTGTAACTCAAGCACACATTGTAAAACAGAAGGCAAATAAAAAATACCCAGTGTCTATTTGTTTTACTGGCAGACAAGCCCCTGTGGTTTCAGTGGAGCTGCCGTGCTGCTCTTTGCAAAGCATTTCTTTGCAAACCTTTTTAATTTTTAGTAGAGCCACACACAGTCACTGAGCCTGTCTTCCAGCACCAGTCCTCCATACAACAGCAGGACGCTGGGACATGTTCCATCCTGAGGAGTATGCCAAATTCACAGCCACAGATAAGATCATAATTGCCGATCTCTCTGAAGCCCATTCTTTAAGAATTAAGCCAGGCACCTGCCTTGCACTCCTGGGTTTTCATCCTTTCCGCTGACTCACGCTTCCTCACGTCCTCCACTTCCTTCAAAAGGTGCTCCAGGGATTTCTGGAGTTTGACCTGAAAATAGAAGAAATGGGCTCAGCTCACCCCAGCAGCACCCACCGAGCGCTGCAGTTCGGCCGGGCCCTCTCTGCCCTGGGACTGCTGGTGCCAGCAGGCAGCCAGGGGACAGTGACCCCGCACCAGGCAGTACCAGCCCTGGCACCCGAACCCAGCAGCTGTGCTCTTCACTTCACTCGCAGCATTAACCCTTTCCGCACTCCTTGGGTTTCCTCCATATTTTTCTTACTATTTAGGTTTTGGAGAACAAAGTGACCGCTCCCCACAATGCTGGGGCGCGGGGCGGCTGGCAGCACGCTGCCAGGAGCGTCGCTGGGACATGTGGTTTGGGTGCACCCCTCCACCAAGGCAAAACGTCCCCAGGGCAGGACCCACCACCCCCACTTCTCTGGGGGGTCACAGAGGGGCAGGGAGCCAGGCTGCCTCCGTGCACCCGGATGGACAGGGGTGAGCCCGGGTGCCGGAAAATTTGGGAGCCAGTGGGTCCAGCCTCGTTCCTGCAACGAGAGCAGCTGGGTGGGTGCTGCCGTCTCTGCCACCCCCTCCTCTGCTTTGCCAGCGGTGCCGCTGGGGCTGTTGGGAGAGGGGCGGTGGGGTCCTGGTGGCCGATCCCCTCGGCGCCAGTGTGCCCAGGGTGCATCGGGGCAGGACGGGGACCCCCGGAACCCCAACCTCCCCTACCTTGTACACCTGTGCAGCCTCCTCGATGGGGTAGACGGTGTGCGAGCGGTGGTGCAGGGACTCCCGGCACACCACGCAGATGGCTTCCTCATCCTCCTCGCAGAAGAGCTTGAGGCGCTCATCATGCTGGGCGCAGAGAGGGGTCCCCATCCCCGTCCCTGTCTCCGTCCCTGGGCCACCCCGCAGCCCCAGCTGCCGGATGCTCTCCACGATGTTGGCCAGCTGCCTGTTGGGTCGGAAGCCGCTGCGGTGGCAGGAGGCCCGGCACTGCGGGCAGGAGAAGGGCCCGTCGGCCCAGAGACCCTTCTCCTGGCAGTGCTTGGCGATGCAGCTCCGGCAGAAGTTGTGCCCGCAGTCAACGCTGACGGGCTCGCTCATGTACTCCAGGCAGATGGGGCAGATGGCCTCCTCTTGCAGCCGCTCCAGGGCACCCGCCAGGGCCATGGCAGCCTCTGCGGCCGGGCAGCCTCGCTGCGCGCTTCCTTCCCCCCAGAGTCAACCAGCAAACGCAGGCTCGCCGGCAGGCGCGGCTGCAGTAGCCTCACGGCGAGGCAGCGCCGGCAGTGCCACGGGAGGCCGGAGGAGAAGCCGGCCTAGCTGTGGTGCGGCACCGGCGGTGGGAGCCTCGGCACTGGCTGGGGGAGGAGCGTTGCACGGGCCGGGACAGCTGCAGCCAGCCTTAAAGGCTGGGGCTTCCTCCAGCTCCGGCGGGTCAAAGAGAAATAAAAACCCTGCCAGGAGAGTGGGACAAATTAGGAAGCACCAGAAATAATCCCTGCCCATAGATAGCCCCGGGCACTGGGATGGCAGAGGTGACAGGGTCGCCTCTGGTGTTTGCTGAACCGAGCAGCCCACGGCTGCAGTGTGAGCCCTGGTGTTGCCTGCCCACTGCGTGCTCACAAGCTGCCTGAAGGTGCTAGGTGAGTTTGGCGATACCCACGCCTTACCACACCGCAGCCCGTGCCAAAACATCCCCCTTGACACCCATCCACTGCAGAGAGCCACAAGCTTGGGCATCGACCGGGGCAGGGCTCAAGCACAGCCTGGTAGGCAAGGGGTAGGAGCCCTGCCGGGAGTGGGCAGGATGAGCACCACTTCACTGTGCTGGGGGGCAGCTGGGAGCCGCCCCGCCACCCTGCAGACCCATCTAGTGCCAGCCTGGACCCCCTCCCAGCCATCACTGCCCACCACAGCCTCCGTGAAGCAAACCAAGAGCCAGTGGGAGAAGCTGCAAGTTTTGCCCCTTTTTATTACACAAAATAACTTCAACACAATCAGTACAAATTAGAATGAAAAGTTTCAATGAAAATGCCAAATAAATTAAAAATACCTCTGCATAAACTTAAATAAAAGAGCTAAACACTGTATTAAATAGTCTGCCAAATTCACAGGCAATAAGAAAAAAAGGGACGTGTCTCGGAGGTGTCCATAAGAGAAGGTCCTCACAGAGGTGATGCTTGGAGGGAGCAAGGCGTTGCTCATCCACTACCTGCCTTGTCGTTTTGGTGATTCACTATGTCCTGGACCCACTTATCATCAGGTTTGCCACAGACTTTCTTGCCTGCAATTGTGGTAAATCTGCAGAAGAAAATCCAGTGGAGAGGAGAGGAGAGGAGAGGAGAGGAGAGGAGAGGAGAGGACCACCTGCTCCTTGCCACTGGTGACCCCACCAAACCACACACCTCTATAGCTGCAGAACAGCCCCAGGGAAATACAGGATGGGGGCTTGGCTTAATGTCATTACAGATGTCTTGTTCTCTGCTATGTAAGCCACTTTGCCCACTCCAGCTGGGACACCATCCTGCCTGAGTCCTGCTATCTTGGGATAAGGGGGGTGACCAGCAGAAGCTCTTTGGCTCAGATCTAGCAGTGAGGTCCACAAACTGGCTGCCTGGAATATGGGATTGGCCTCTGAGATGCTTCCAGGCTGTTCTCCTAACACAGGAGAACCCAACTTGGTGTTTTCCCTTGCCAGGATGGGGTGTGATGTGGGTTTCCTGGCACTGCCACTATTCAGTGGAGCAGGGCCCCCCAGGATTTGGGCAGATCTACTCACATCACAGCTGGCTGGAAGCAGTGGCTGGCTGTGTGCTCATACATCACCACACGGCTCGAGGGAAACGCTTTGGTGCTGTATTGGATGCAGCAGGGACCAGACATGTTGACAGACCCTGGAAGAGAAGTAAAGTTTTCTGATTAAACCAGACCAGGAAAAGGACCAGTGGGGAGAAGCAGGGTCAGAAGATCAGAAGGTCCCCACTGAGGAGGTGCTGCTCCCACCATGGGCTCCCACCACAACCATCCTTCCCTCAGGAAGCCAAGGAGTAGCAAGACATGCCTCTCCTTTCCCACAGCAGATGCTTGGAAGGGAGAGCTGCCAAGCATCACTAGACCTTATACAGCAGAAAGAAAGAGGAGAGAGCTCCTCAGAGAAGAGAAATTGGACTTACTTGGAGAAGAGGAGACCTGGTAGCAGAGAACAGCCATGAGAAGTACAGCAAGGGCAGCTGTGGAAGTCTTCATGCTCCTGTTGGGTGGAGATAAATTCTAGGAGTCAGGCTAGACTGCTGCAGAGTGCCCCTTGTTGTGCCTGATGTGGGATCCCTGGGTTCAGCCCACTTTATAGAGGGAGACAGCAAGTGAGGACGGAAACATGCCGGAAACATTGCTGAAAGACATGACACAATGGAAGAAGTGCTGTGTCAGGGGTGCCACACCGTCCCACAGAGGGAAGTGCCTGGAGCCCCGAGGAAAGCAGTGCCCTGACGTGGCATGTTATATAATGATATGATACCGTGAAATGATAGAGAACAGGATGACCTCTTTTTTCCTTTCCCCTGAGCAAAGGACGTTGTAGAGAACCTAGACGTAATGATTCAGAAGATTAGTAGATGGACCTCTTGCCTAGAAGTCACTTGATGGCAATGGATGGAGAATGACCATGGCTGCCACGCACTCATGTTTCCTAGAATATCTGTATCACAAACTGAGGACAATTCACTTCTCCCATAGCGACTGGAGCAGGGAGAGTCCATGAGTTAGGCAGCCCTCCCTGGCTGCCCGCCCAGTGAGTTGGCGAGGCACACAACAGCCATGCCCTGCCCCACTGGTAGCACTGCCCCAAGGAGATGGGGGCTTTCTCTGTGGGACCCAGAAGGCCATCAGTATGTAAGCGTGCAGAACAGAGGGTAGAGCATGGTGCCATCCCAGGTCTGGGCTCCTCTTCTGTCCTTGACCATCACTTGCAGCAAGTCATTAGGAAACTGGTTCTGTCACTACATTGCCATTTCACAAACACCAGTGACAGCTAAAATAGCACTACTTTATCCATGGACATGAGAATCAGCCATTAACGTTTACAAAGAGCTTTAGAAGCTCATGACTGTGTTGGCACAGCAGAGTTGGTTTAGATGATTATTTGGTTCCAGCCGTGTAGAATCGACACCCTCCTGACATTGTTGTCATTGTCCCAGCAGCCACAGACACATACAGAGGAGATTTGCTGGTTTAGTTCATATTGTTTGGGACAGAAATGGTGTCACTGTGCTGGCAGAGAAACTCCTGTTGGAAATGCTACATCCCTACAGAATGGCTCTGCTAACTTCCAGGCAAAGGCTTGTGGATGAAACCTCAGGAGAGCAAAGGAAGACTGAGGTCTTTGTGGTGCTAATGAATGCATCCAGGTGCTGGACAACCACAGCTGCAGTGGGAAAGCCACACGAGCAGGCTGCCTTTCATGATGGTCCAGTGAAGAAAGGGATCTAGCTCCTCTACAGAGGAGGATGATTACAAAAAAAAGACACTACTGCCCAAAGTGGTGGCCTTGTAGGAACCCAAAGGAGGAACTAGAAGGGAAATGAGGAGATTTCCTCTACCTGCTGAAGGAGAGCTGATACCAGGCCTGGGGCTCCCAAGTGCTCCAGGGCATGACGCAGACCATCACCACATCTCAGTAGACTGAACTCTTTGAAAAAGTGAGCCAGACTTGTTAGAAAGTATGGGCTAGGTGGCATTGCAGGATTTGTTTTACACAGAGCCTTTTGTTTTAGTAAAAAACTGTTACTAAGTATGAGCAAAACTGAGCCAGGGTGAGACCACACATGGGTGCCTTGCTGCTATGGAGGCAGGGAGCCTCTACAAGCATGGAGGGCAGGCAGCCGGGGAGGGTCTGCCTGCAGAGCCCTGGGACCCCAGGGCACATGCTGCCAGTGGGGCTTTTGGAAAGACACTTCCTTAGCAGGGACAGGCATCTCCCATCACACAGCAAGAATGCAGCCCCCATTCAGCCCACAACCCATGGTTCCTCTGCAGCCAGTGTAGCTTAGTCCTCAGCTTTGCCCTTCCAGCAGTGAGGGCACTGGCATATCCATTTACTTCTCTCCATCTCTCTTTCCCCATTGACGGGATTGCTGCCATCCCAGATCATGCTGAGGGGTTAAACTCCCAGAGTGAGAGCGAATCAAGACAGCACAAATCAAGGCTGAGGCTTTACTCTCCTGTGGCAGAGAAGGACTCATGGCACCCAGCTCTGAACAGCTGAGGATCTCAGAATTCATCTGGGATCCTGCCTACTCTATAACCCCTCTTGTCCTGTGCTCCAGAGCCCACTCAGATGCTAAAATGAAACCTTGCACCTCCAGGGGCATGAGGTCCCACCACCAATGTCCTGGGCTGAATCCACTCACCCCCACACTGCACAGAGTAGGGCTGGTAAGATGTCAGCCTGCTGCTTGTCCATCCCTTGAGCTGTCAGGAGTTGCTCATCTTGCCTGAAGTATCTAACTTAATCTAGCAGGGAGCCTTAGGAAAGCAGCTGTCCTGGGGAGCTGCCAGGAAAGGGCCAGGCAGGCTGCAGGCACCCTGCATGAGATGTTAGCACTGGCAGCAGCACGGCCAACCTGGAAGGAAGGTGTGTGCCAAGCCACGATCCCAAATCCACAACACCTCTGCACTCCCTCTGCCTCCCTGTTCCAGCTCTTCCTGCAACGTGTCCATCTGTGCTCCTAGGACATCTGAGGCAGAGAATTAGCAGCTCCCCTCCATCCCCATGCCCAATTCAGCCATGCTGCACCTCCAGCCTAGCCAAAGTGACTCCCCTCACCCTGCTTCCATGCCTCCCCCACCTCTGGGAGCTCTTGGCACCCTTTTTACCCAGTTGCTGCTCAGGGTTGCTGGGGAAGGGGGAGGTGAAGCTGGGCTCCTGGGCAGGGAGAGGGTGTATGGGCAGCAGCTGCCTGGACCGTGCAGGCCCCCTTGCACATCTCTGTCCCCATGGGGCTGGCCATGCATCACTGACGGATGTGCTGCCTGAGACAAGAGACATGACAGCTTGACATATCCAAGATAACAGGCCAAGACTGACACCCCTGCCTGAGGCAACAGACGGCAGATTGAGGCTGAGGGTGCTAGAAACAGGCTTGGAGACAGATCTGACCGAGTGGCAGACTGGGAAACCACATGGAGAGATGAGACTGAGATCAGACTGAGATGAGATGAGATGATCATGATGCATTGATGACCTGCTAACCTAGGTGCCACCAACGCCTACCACTTTCATCCCTGCCTCCTGCCATTTCTACAAGTGCGTTCAGACCCAACATTTGCACACATTCCCTGTTCAGACCAATCTTAACTTTCCTGTTACACATCTCCACACAGGGACTAGAATAAAACTGAGAGGAGGAGAACAGACTGGGGAGTGAGCTGGAGACATCCTCGCTGATGCAGCTCACACCAACACAGCCCAGCTTGGAGCTGCTTTTAGCTGAATGTTCTGGATGTTCTTGCAATATTCAAATATGGATTTGATGGAAATGTCAAGATTCATTTTGAAAAATCAATATTGTCTATCAGGAATATAAATGTGCCTAGACATTTTCAATGAATTCTCTCTCCTTTCAGACATACCGGGCTGTGTTTCCTGCTTCCATTCATTGCAAAAGGAATTCTTGGAGGTTTTGACACCTCTGTTATTCCCCCTATTCACTGTTTTCCTCAACTCTGTTCCTTCCTTGAAGGAAGATTTCATATTTCAGTCTTGACTGCTCCTTCCTGCCAAGACAAATAATGCAAATCTCTAAATATTTTGATTTCTAAAACCTCCTCCATATCATACATCCTAAATAGTATTTATTTTTGGAGTCTGTAAAACCTCTGCCTTATGGTGTGTTTCAGCCTTTGATAGAAACCACACATGGTATCTTTGGATCCATCACCAGAACAGATTTGGCATGCAGTAGGAAGTCTTTTCTTAGCCCTGAAGGCAGCCTACTCCACCACACTAACTCGTAGGTTGGAGTCATATCTGGGGGATCACATTATCACAGTGCTCCTGGGAGCTGCCAGATCGCTAATGTGGGAAACTGGTTTTAACTGGGAGCAAATCAGCTGGAAACAGAACGAGAATGACTGGGGGAAGTCAGCAATCACAGGGTGGTACGGCTTCAAGAAAGACAAGCAAGATCTCAGATGTGAAGAGGTATTTTTCAAGAGGGATCGAGACTTTCCAGCATGAGAATTGAAGTCTGCAAAATGACGAGTGGCCTAGAAAAAGGGACAAATAGCGATTATTCATTGTCTCTCCCAGAGAAAGAACCATAAACCATCAAAAGAAGCTGGCAAGAGACAGGTTCAAAATGAACAGAAGGATGCAGTTCTTCAAACGAGGAGCTACTTGCCAAGGGACGTGGCGATCACAAGGAAATTTCCATGTGTCTGAGTCAGGGCTTTGATTTCAAAGCAGTAAGCTCAAGAAGATTTGTGGAGGCTGGGAGTGCACTCAAGGGAGGCAGCACAAGTATTTGCCTTTCTCTTCAAGGGGTCTGCTGTGGCCACATCTGGAGATATTAACACTAGACTAGATGGACCCTTAGTCTACATCATCTGGGACTGTGCTGTAAGGTCTATAGAGTAGCTTGTGAATTGCACTGAAATCCCAGGACTGAAATTTATATATCAGGATATGCCTCCAGATGAATAATATTTTTGGTAAATGTTAGCAGAAAGACACCAACAGTTTCTAAGCACACAGCAAGGCAGAAATACATTGCTGCAGTTTGCACAATTTTCCAAGACAAATTTGGGGCACCTAGAAAAGCCTCACTTTTGGACCAAGAGCCTGAAGAGTGGGAGGTGGTCGGCTGCCGTGTCAGGATGTGGCCCATACAGAAATTTGGTAGTACTTCCAACGAGAGATGCAGGCTGCCTTTGCCAAATTACAGCCATGCATATAAACCTTTGTTTCACTGAAGATGCTCTCAGCACTGAGCACCAACCTGCCTGGAGCTGAGCAGGGTGTGCTCAGCAGCTATAGCACTGCCTGACTGTTTTAGCTATGGCAGCTGAGGTTCTGAGAAACTAAGAGAAAAATATTTGGGCGTTAGCTTTGAGACACGCAGGATCTGACATTTCTGAGCACTTGGCATTATGTGGTACTTTGTACTTGCAAAGTCTGCCTCCTGTTGTCTTCAGCTGGAGATACCTGTGACGTCTGCAAGTCTGACGGCAGGATTTCAGGAATCTAGAAAACAAAGACAATGCTCCACAAGAGCACTAGTGAATGTTGGGTTA